AATTCTGGCTTTCAGCCTGCAAGATTCAGATTAATCTTTCTTCTGGAAACAGAAGAGTGGAAAAAATGTTTACTTTTTAAAATAAAAACTCTGATTTTCTCATACTATGCTCATTCCAGAAGATGGAGCTTTTTTAAAAGAAACAATTATTGTGGCAGTTGCCAGCACTGCACTTATTCTATATTGCACAGACTATTTGTAATCCTTTTATTTGTTATTTCTTAAGCTTTAAAAACATTTTACAATGTAAACATAGAAGAAGACCTCAAAAAACCAAACCTTGTGAACTACAGTTTACAGTTTACAGCATTTAGTAAAGAGATTATTAATTGGTTGCAGGAAGAAAAGGACAAAGGGAGTGGCACAGTGTATTGCATACCATTGGTTTTTCTGACTTGACCGCTTTCACTTGGAGGCATTCTTCACGCTTTGAGGTAGTGTTGCTGAGGTCCTTCTGCTCACCAATGGCACCCTGAGTCTGATGGCCTGGTGACCGGGTCTGAGAGTGGCTGCCTGGGTCTCTTGGTGGTGGAGGCCTTGGGTGGATATCTCCCCGCTGCTTCTTGGTGACGTGTGCCTCTGGGCCATGCACGGTCTTCACATGCTTCCGCAGAGAGCTGGGGTCTGTGTAGCGCTTCGTGCAGCCTGGTATCTTGCAAACATATGGTTTCTGACAAGACACAAAACCACCCATATTGGATTTTATTCCATGTGGGACTCCTGAAGAACTCATCGGAGCACAGTTGGTGTCACAGTTATACACTTTCACGGTTAATTTGTCACCTAATCTATGGTCTCTACAAATGAATCATAGAATGGTTTGGGTTGGAAGGGACTTTAAAGGTTATCTAATTATTCACTCCCTTCCCAATATGGGCAAGGACTCCTTGGTCAAAACCACATTCAAACATGGCTTGAACACCTCTAGGGATGGGGCATCCACAGCTTCTCTGGGAAACCTCTACCAATGCATCATTACCCTCACAGTAACCAGTTTCTTCCTTATAACTAATCTAAATCAACCCTCTTCCAGTTTAAATTGTCCTATCAAATTGTGACCGCACCTAGTCAAAACCATTAGTTCCCCTTGGTTCGGAAGGTAGCAGCTAGTGCTGTACAGTTGATTGAGGGCAGAGTCTCTCATGGGTACCAACTGGCACAGCTTTCATTTATCTTAGCAGAAGAGTCAACTCAGCTATGGCAATTTATGAAGACTGATTTAATTTTCAACCCTGTCCATTGCCCTCAGCAGTTTGATAGTGTTCCCACTATGCCTAGTACCTGCTACTTGACACTGAGAGAAATAACCTCCTTCATGAGATGCTGGGCCATTTGTTCAGGCAGAATTAAGTGAGGAAGCTTTTTTTTTCTGGCTCCTTCAGATCACCAGTACAATGTCAAAGCATAAGATACAATGCCATGAACACTTTCACATTGCCACAATATATGCTCTAGTTCTATTATTGCTGCTACTAGCATAACTCATCACTCATTTTTTTTAGAAACCACTTTCTTTATCTGTGGATTTCTATAGCTCACTAAGCAATGTAGAATAAAGTAAATTTACTGTCTTATAAACAAAGCCTTAACAAAGCCTTTTTTCTTGTATTATGAAGGGATTAGAAAGAAGAGCTGAGCACTTCCTAAATCCTTTAATTGCCTCAGGAAGCAAAGTATTGTTCACTCATTTTCATTAGTGAATTGTTTCAAATAAACTACTATTTTAAAGGGGTTTTTTTATCCTAGTTTTCAAAAAATTGAAAGAGACCTTCATGCAGAGTTTCTCAGAGGGATTCTCTGTCTGCTTATACATGGCACTGTGGAGCCTTTGACAAATATAGCTTCGTCATAGCTGTCTAAGGCCTGAGACTGCTTCCACTGGCATCAGTGGAAAAAACCCTCCCATTTACTTGAATAGGAGCAAAAATGAGCAATTTAGAGATGATGTTGAGCTACTGAGGCATGTTTTCTCATATTGCTATGGAAGTATAAGTCACTTAGCTCTCCTCTGCATGAGTAAGGATATCGTCATCAAGATATGTCAACTGCTTTTAAAGCTCTCTGTACGTTACCTACTTAAAACCAAAATGGCACAGCAAGCAAATGCTGAATTTGGTCTGTGCTTTTCATTGTATTCACATCACTCCACCAGCATATGCTGCCTTAAAAGATTAGCCTGTTTTGGTGTGAAGTAATGGTGAAGAAATGTTTCATTTGCCCCTGTGGCTGCACCTATCAGAAATCATGTTCAGCATAAAATTTCTCTGATTGACTTACTGGTAAACACAAAATTCTGAACTTAAACAGGGGCAGGTCACATCACTAAGTGTGAGAAGGTTTAACCCATCAACTAGGCAGCACACAGATTGGTTCAGACAGTGAATGAAAAAAGAAAGCTCGGGCAGCTATTGGCAAGACTTGGTGAACTTCCTTCTACCTTGGTGACCATTCATGAAATCACTGCAGGGCTTCAGAGCCATTATTAGTTGGGCTGCTGAAAACACACACGGCAGAGATGAGGAAACTCAGAGCTATGCAATGCCATCTGCTTCCTTTGTGAGTGAAGAGATGCTGCAGGGCAGGGACTGGAAGAAGATGAATGCCCCCTGGAGATCTGCCGGCCCTAGTGCATGCCTGCGACAGACCTGACGGCCAGCTAGAGAAAGATACAGGCTGTGCGGAAATAGATATGGCTGCTATGGTATGTCCGGCCCTTCCAGTACTTCCCGGTTTAGGCTAGAGGTGAAGGAGTATAGGGACGTGTCAAGGAGGAAAGAGTGGACTCTGAGATGTGAGGTTGAGGTGATGTAACTCTCTGTGCAACTTGAAATGGGGCAATAAAACAAAGACAATGCTAGAAGATGGTAAGAGTCCCAAAAAAAGGAGGCAGCAGTAATAATGAGATGTTACACTGAAAGCTTGGAAACAGCTGTGACTGCCAAAGCTGGCTTCCTCAAGAAAGGTCATATTTCTTCTGCTGCATCCCTAGTCCATGAGGTCTGTTCAGGACTGGAAAGGAAGAGTGAGAGAGGCCAAAGAAGAAAAAGGTGTAACTCAGACCTTAAATGGCAACCCATGATGTCTAATGTGGAGACTGCGGCTGTCTGCAGCACCCCAAAGTATGCTGGGGAAGCTGCATCCCAGCACATGCCTGGTGCCAACACAGGCATGGGGACGGGTCCAGGCACTCAATGAGCCCTTCCAGCTCAAGATGGAAAAATAATTCCAGCTTTACAGGGAAAACAGGATCTGTCCCTGGTTAATACATGTGTTTCCATTAGACTCACTTGTTCAAAACTCTCCTACATGTAATAAATTGCCAGGTCTGTATGACGTACTGTGCTGCTAAGAGGCATTCAGATCTTGCATTCCTTTCAGGTTGCTGAGGGTTGCTGTGCCTGTCCTCTGTAATACACTGCTTACATTGACCAACTGTAAGTCTGTTCAACACAGAATTATATTAATCTTTTGAAGCTGTGATTACTTACCTCATTGGAATGAGTCCTGTTTTGGTGCTTGGCCCTGTCAGATGCATTGGAGAAAGCTTTGTTGCAGCCTTCATGTTCGCACACATAGGGTTTCTCTCCAGTGTGAGATCTCAAGTGCGTTTTCAAGTTTTCTAATCTGGAGTAGGCCTTTGTACAACCTTCAAACTGCAGATGAGAAATAGTTCTAGTTTAGTTTTAATCTTTGGACTTGCAGGAAACTGCAAAAGTGGACTTAAAAAAGTTTAGAAATTTTCCAAGCCTTCATAACCTTGTCCAATGTAGTTTTGATTTGAAGGGTTTTAATTTTATCCAAGCAAACTCTACCACAACTCAAGTTAAAATGCTTTCAGCATTATGTAAATCTTCTCTTACAGGAGAGAAGTATTTGTGTACTTCAACTAAGACTGAAATCCACTGCAAAGCCATCAGGAGACTGGTGGCCAGCAGACAAGCTCTGTAACAGAAAGTGCCTTTAAATAATTAGGTAAACTGAGCCCTGTTTAATTATGCCCTTTGGAGTTTCTTTGTACTTTAAACCTTAGGAAGTGGGCCAAATCATCCAGGGAATCCCCTCTCTTAAAGCTTTTGTCATCTGGTTGTGCTGGATAACAAAGCAGACATGGCACTCTCTTCTCCACAAAAGTCTGACAGACAAGAGCTCAGAATACAGCACTCATCCTGCTGTTTGTTCTCTGCACAGCTCCTGCTTCCCTGTACAAACCTGGAGCCCTCGCCTCTTTACTTACAGTGCATTTGTGTGGCTTTTCCCCTGTATGTCTCCTCATGTGGACCACCAGCATATATTGAGCTTTGAAAGGTTTCTGCTCCCGAGAACAGTCCAGCCATCGGCACACAAACTCTTTCTTCTCACCATGTATGTGGTCATTGTTGATATGCTGTTCAGGTGGAATAGAGGTTACAGTTTAACAGAATTACAACATCTGCTGCAACAGCTTAACAGAAACACAACATTATTGTAATTTTGCACTGGAAGAGCACCAGAGATTCAGGTGTGAACCAGGTCCTTGTGGTACCGAAAGAATAAGATAATCTGCGCTTCCAAGTGACCACAGGGTTCAAATTATAGATCCTACTGGAAGTCCACTAAGGCCCATGAATTTTCTTCTACTGAGATCAACAGGCTGTGGACCAGGCCTCAGGGATTCAAGCTGATAAATGGATCCTGGATAATCTCATGTACGGCTCCACTTGTGTGATTCACATTGGGTGCTGCTTTTGCAGAGCAGGGAAGTGTTACTTAAGTGCTGATCAATATAAACAAGATTTACAAAATCAGGCCTTTAGAAACATATTCTCCAACCTGAAAAAATCAACAGAACTGCTAAACCAAGTTTCCACCCCAAATTTTAACTCATTCCCTGCTAGCCATATTTTCTTTCAGTAAATGTATTTGGTTCAGTAAATGTACAGGTCATGGCAGTGGAAATAAGCCCCTATACACTGTGAATATAAACTCTGAGTACGGAAGCATACATCAAGCCAGTTTTTGCAATTGCCAAGATTGGCTCTGTCTGAATGTGTGTGGGAGTGACAGCTGCCCCAGCCCTGCTGACTCACAGGCACATCTTTCTATGGTCAGTGTCATCCACATGAGTGTACCCAGAAGCAGGACAGGATTGTATACCTTGTACTCTTTCACAAAATTAGCTTGCTCTGTTTCTTTCACTAAAACCTAGTTCAGAAAAGCATTTTAAAATGGATTTAATTCTCTATGTGTTTGAATAGAAACAAGCAGGTGAAGCAGGGCCAGCCTCAAAATTGGTTTGTTGTTTTTTTTTAAAAGGTTTAACTGAATTTTTTTTTGTACATCTTTAGAAAACAAAAAAAGAGAAAACTACACCTGGACTTTCAGAGTCTTTTTTCCACTAGGAGCTACCCCACTCATCCTCCCAGACACTCTTGGAAGTATCATTCCACACTGCCGTACTTCTGTCATTGTGCCACTAGATGGCTGCATTACTCAGCGAATGACATTATTCCCACTAAGGTACCACCAAAAAATCTTTCCAGTTTTTATTTGATCACAGCACAGGGATGAAATCTGTATCTGTTCCATAATGGGCCCACAGAAAATGCCAGCTGTATAGAAACTCATTAGTTCATACTGGAACACCAAGAGGATAATCCCAATCTTTTCTGAAGTCTTGAAATCAGTCAGAAAGCCACATAAAATGACGTATGTTCAAAATTATGCACCACTGCCATGGAAAACAGACATGCTTGTAAAAGATGACAGATCTTTTTCTGAAACTTTATTGCCATTTTTTTAAAAGTCGTTATGGGGCACAGGATGCATGAACAGAGCAGAGGTGATGGGTAACATACGACTTGTAATCTGCAAGAGTTAATGTTCCGAGTGCAGATCTGTATTCATAATACACACACCTGTGACAGAAGCATACACATACCCTGCTCTGTGAAATGGCATCAAAAGACTTCAATGAGGGCAATGTGTGTTATTTCTTGAAAGAGAAAGAAGTAACAGGACGACATTAAATGCATTCAAGCAATTCATAGCCGAATCTCTCTGTAAACATTACAGACTGTGTGTTATGTGGTTAAACCTACACAGCCACAAGGGGGATTAAACTTGAGTGTGTGACACAGGCTTTCCATTTGATACAAAAAACCTCAAGGCTGGATCAATCACTTCACCACAGCACCTCCTTTGACCTCCTGCTGTGTGGACACTCAGGCACCCTGGAAGCTCTTTCAGGGAAAATCTCCATAGGACAGTTTTTTCTCTTTGTCCCTGCAAATCAGCTTGCTCCCTGCGCTCTAGACCTCTAACCTTTCACAGCATGAGAATCCTCTGAAATTGACCTTTCTCATGGGCCTAAAAATCCTTTCTTCACTCCCGCACCAGCCCAGGCTCACTGCAGCAGCTGACAAAGCTTGCCAAGAGTGGTGATGATCATTTGCCTCTCTCCATCACTGGCTTACCTGCCAAATATCTTGTGATCGTCCTCTGGTCTCTCACAACTGTGGCTCTCCATACATATTTGCCCTGCTCTCTTACTCTATCCATCCTTTCCTAGACTCTCTGATCTTCTTACAATCAAACCCCTCTTTATGCTGTTTTCCCTCATTGTTCTGATGCTACCAAGTGGCCCCTGAGAGTTCACCTGCAAATCCATCTCATTCTCATTCAATCCCTCTGAGAGCCTCACCTTTAGGGAAAGCTTGGAATAAATGAGCCTGTGATCTGCTAATCTGGTAAATTATTTGGTTCACAGGCGAGCTGCTTAATTGCTTTTTGCAGAGGGGTCATATTTTAGCAGCCCTACAAACATCTCCAAATACTTAAAAGTCTGGTCTGGAGGAAGACACTTGCTAGAAAATCAGCACCAGCAGTGCTCTTAGGTAAGGAGACTCACAGTATTTGTCATCCTGAGATTCAAACACCCTCACTTGCTCAAGTTATGATGAGAAAACTTGTCAGTCATCTACTATGGACATATAGGCAGAACTACACAAATGCAAACCATGAACTGAATCTACACTGGGATTTTTTTACCATTATCATTTGACAGAAAGAATGTGCGATTTTTACATGTGTTTAAAGAGGAGGGAGGTCTCACTGTGCAAACAACATCATTTAGAAAAGTTCAGAAGTTTGTGAACTCTGGCATTCAGGTTCTTTGACTCAGATAATTACTGTTGGATTTTACACGGTGTTTTTGGCTCCCTGGTCTCTATTATGAGAGGAAATGAACAGTTTTGAGCTTGTAAAACAAAGAACAGTCAGGAATTAGAGTATTATGCAAAGCAGAAGCTTTGGTACAGTACAATAAGGAATTATAGGGTTTCAATTTATAATCTGTTTGTAACCTTATTACACCCATGAAATGTCACATTCCAGGGACTAGATCAGAAGGATTTTTTTTTTCCTGGTGAAATTGAATTTTGATGCAGTTTCAGGGTGTGAAAAGGCTTTTCTTTTAATTTTGTGGACCCAAACCTGCAAGTTTTACTTATGTCCGTAATCCTTATTACAGTAAATAGCTGCATGAAAGCCAGTGATATTACTCCCTAGTGTCAGGTTTGCCAGCATAAGGCTCTGAAGCATCAGCTCTCTATTATTAAGAATTTCTGACCTGAAAAAAAAAAAAAATTAAAAGCTGGAATTCTACAAGCTATCTCCCGTTGCACACAGCTCCAAAAAGCTGCTGAACAGGGGTCATTTGCAGAATACCAGTCACTTTCATGCTACTTCAATGCTTATTACCAAATGTCTGTTTGTCCTGGCTCATTTTCTATTCTTTAAAAAATGTTGTTATTATCATCCAGTTGCAAAATACCCTAAAACGAACAGAGGGAGCTGACCTAAATACTGATTTTAGTCTCAGAATGACCTGCCTTTGAAGGAGGAAGCTCTGAGATGGATTTCAATTCCAGAGCATAAAACCCCACCAGATTAATTGAAATCAAGGCTGAAGTTTGCCTGTCATCTCTACTGGGCAATCTCAAAAACCAGAGGTAACAGGAAATTCAATCCACAGTATCCTGGAAGCATAAATACTTAAATGGTAAGAAATACTATTGAAAAGGGAATGTCTTAAATTATGCATGTTCTCATATAATCTATACCAACTGTACCTGTTACTGAATATTGTAGCAGATAAGATGAAGTGACACTGGAGGTAAGATCTGCAATAATCTTAAGTGTTCCATTTCCCTCCTCCAAGAGGGTTTTTACAAGAAAGGAGAATCTGCACATGTCCTAGCTGACTGCATGGTACCTGCTAGATATTTAATACATAAACAAAGGCCAAATGCCCTCGCACAGTAGTCAAACAGGAGGAAAAGCCTCTCCATACCAGTGTAAAAACTTAGGAACAACAGAAAAAGAATGTCACTTCAACTGAGATTGCATCTGCAAGCAAAGTGCTATTTGGTGGCAAGAGCAGAATATACTGGGAGAATCTCACATTTCTGTTTTCTAACCTAGACATGCTACCCTAGAGTGTAGGGGGAAACTGGGAAGAGACCATGTTGTATTGGTATAATGTGCTAAGTCAGTAGTTGAGTGAAAGGTGTATCACCATTGCCAAAATTAGGTTCAATTTCAGTTATACAATGAAAACTTCACACTTTTATCTTCTCACAGCTATTTCCCTCTATTTTAAAAAATTAAAAAGGAGTTGCTAAATAACTTCTCACTTGACCTCACCACTGACATTAAGCAGAGGCAGCATTTAAACCATCTTCTAGCAAAAATCTCCCCCTGTACTGTACTGCCATAAAAAGCAGAACCAGCAGAGCTGCTGACTTTGATGCATAAGGGACAAAGTGTGAAAGGTGAAGAGGCATCGCAGTGGAACAGCTGCTAAACACAGCTCATCCAGCAGCTGCACGAGAGCTGTGGAGCCCACAGAGAGGACATATGCAGAGGCTGTGTCTGGCAGTACCAGACTGGAAAGCTCTGAAGCTGGTTTGGAAGGGGATTAGCTGTCCCTGACCTGCAAGTCCTGCAGGGAACACTTTTATTTCTGTGTTTTGCATAGGGAATGTAGATTTGTCCTTAAACCCACATACAGTTAGAAACAGGTTCCTAGTCATCAGGCCCATCCCCTTGCTATGGCAAGTCCCACTGCACGTAATCCTGATCACGAACAGAGCTTCAGCTTCCAAGTACCTTGGTGATCAGCTCCCTATGGTCCCAGTGGAAGGCGCTTCTAGGAACTCACTCTTCTGCTGGTTAGCAACTAATTTCTAGCTTTGATTTATTCACAGCCAATTTATATTCATTTGTTGTCGTGCCAACGCTATCCTTTAGCTTAAACAGCTCTGCTTTCCTGCAGACTGTTTAGTTCTCTCCCTTCCCCACCCTAACTAACTGGCAGACAGCACTCTCCTCTCTGTCTTCCTTTGC